TGCCACTGTGCTTGCTCAGGATGGGAGACTGCGATGAAGCCAAGATTCAAATTGTCTGCTGGATTCCTTAGATAGAGAACTTTACTAACTGGCTTTTCTAAGTATATGAATGTTCCTGTAAAGTGCCCTGAGACAACTTTCTTGTGATTTAGCGCTATATAAATAAACTGAATTGAATTGTTGGGTTGATTCCATGACATATCTGTCACAAACTGACACATAAACTCACAGACATGAGAAAAACATTAGTGGCCGCTTCAGCCTTTCTGCAGCAGATCATAATAAAACAGATGATATGTAATTCAGATGTTGGTCCCTGTGCACCCACCTGCCTTCTCTGATGTAAATGTAGAGGAGGTTTGTGTGTCTTGTGTGTGTGTGTGAGTCAGAACAGATCATCTATAGGAGAGAGAATACAACAAACCCATCTGCAGATGTGAACTGTATTTAGTTTGTGAGATAAACAACAGATGAAACAAGTGTTCGTTGTTCCTCCATTCACTGAAAGGATCAATGAGTTCCCATAAAAGACCCATTTCAGCTTATCCTTTTGACCAGAACACAACCACAGCTGGACCCATTCTGAAAAGATATTTGTCACCTGGCTTTGTGTGCATCCTCATTTGTCTTGAGGATCATCTTTTTTCGTTTCATCGTCCTCACATGTGCTGATGAGATTTCCAAACAGAGATAATGAAGAGGGGCATTAATATGCACATTCATCCACAATCACACACCTGTTGAGTGGAGGTGAGAGCGCTTCCAAACTAACAAAAAACTCAAATATTAAATCTGATTAACTGTTTAAACTATCAGAGACACTCTCAGTTCCAACCAGTAGAAAGCAACATGATTACCCATATTTAAACAATATGGGTGTTGATCTGCTTTCTAACATAAATTTTAACAGCAAGCTGTATTTCTCACATTTACTGAAAAATTTCCACTTCCAATTAATGCACATTAATGGGTTTAAAGAAGACAGGGTGAAGGAGAGCCCTCTTCTCGGAAACATAATTGGATTTATGATAACTGGATTCTGCTTTTTGGAGTCGATGGAAATCTGGATTGTTGACAAATTTGGAAATGTCAGCCGCTGTTTAAGCTGTCTGGAATGTGTGTGCCGGGCTTGGCAACACTCAGACTCTGTGCGAACTATCTGTGGACCTGTATCAGAGCTGAGCGGGCAGGACTGTGGAACTTTGTGTCAGTGTTCACGGACGGTTGGAAGGAATAGATGTTGGAGAAGTTGTAAGCCCGACTTGGGTGCAAGTAATGACAATTAGGCTGAGCTGCTGCCTCTCAGCGAGCAGGTCCTTGGTTCAAACCCCGGTCCAGGGGCCTTTCTGGGTGGAGTTTGCATGTTCGCTCCGTGCATGCGTGGGTTTTCTCCGGGTACTCCAGTTTCCCACCACAGACCAAAAACATGCATGTTAGGCTGATTGGTAACTCTAAATTGTCCCTAGATGTGAATGAGAGAGTGAATGGTTGTTTGTCTCGTGTGTCTCTATGTGTCCCTGTGATGGACTTGCGACCCGTCCAGGGTGTACCCGGCCCCTCGCACACTGATTGCTGGACATGGGCACCGGTGACCCCCGTGACCCAAAATGGAATAAGTAGGTAAAGATAATGGATGAATGGATAATAAAATGACAAAATCAGCTTTGGAAGTGTGTCTGCTCAGACAAGCTGGTTTGGGTTTTATTATTTATTTATTGTTATTTCACCTGTTTTGGACCCCTGTAGTTTTTGTTGTTGTTGTTTTTCAGTTTGATCGTAGTTCTTAATTTTGGACTGGTTCAATTGTCTTGACAGGTTGTTTTCAGCTCATTAGTTCTCAGTTTTCTGTGTTTCTTGAATGTTCCTGTTCCAGACGTTGTTTACGCTCATCTTGCTCACACCACTCTGTCTCTCACACCTGCTCTTCATTTGTTTACCCCAGCTGTTGTCATTCGGTGATCACTCCTTCCTGTTCTTATACCACTCAAATCAGCTGGTTCATGTCTGCTTGTTTCTGGCACCTTTTAAGTTGCGTTTGAAGTTTTGATTTCTTATCAGGGATTTCAATAAACGTATTGTCTGCTGTCATCACTGTTGGGTCCTCGAAACCAAAATCATGACAGGGCACCGGCACATACAAAACTGATTTAGCTCTCTCATGTTCAGCAACACTCATATTAAAAATTGCATTGAAATTCATGTAAAAGTCATTGTAAAAACCTGGACACTGATGTTAACTTTGCATTGTGTGATCTTTGCAAGAACAATTTGACTTGTTTCCTGAAGAAAGTGCCCCAACAGAATCAGTAAAGCTTGCTGCTGCAGCCACCATTACAAATTACAAATAACCACAGACTTATACATTTAATAAAATGTATTAAGAAACTGTTGCAAAATAACCTTCACATGAACTGCTATAAAATATTTTACATGAAAGTTGTTTAAGGACAACAAAAGTCCTCTCTGGTATTTGCTGTTTCAGACTAGCCGTTGGCTCATCAGTCCTGGCAGGATTAAAATCTTTTTCTCATGGGCGGCTCCAGGGGGGAGCTAGGGGGTGCTATAGCTCCCCCTGGACAAGTCATAGCACCCCCTTAGCACCCACAAGAAAATATCAGATTATTTTCTTTTTCATCTGAGTTAATATTCTTTAATATGTGGTTGTTGTGATATTTTCCTCGCAAAACACAACTAATTTAAAAAAAAACAATCAATGATTATATTGAGTTTTTAAAAAATTCTATCTCACAACAGGAAATGAACCTCCGAACTGGAAGTGAAAATTCAAGTTACTGAAAGTTCGGTAAACATTTGAAAAGTGCACGAAATGCAAAAATGGACCATTTTATATTACCCAAATTGCCTAGAATGGAATCAGAGAAGGAGGATTTTTTGGAAGCAGAGTGCAGCCAACAAATAAACAATAATTTGGAAGCAGGATCAAGCCTACTGCCATCGTTCCACATCTATGGAGAATGCTGCTAACGCTGGCGCTGGAGGATGGAGCCAGCACGTTCAGCTACCTTTGGACAGTTTCCAGTGAGTCCTCTTCGTGGTGTATCCTGGTCTGATCCACCAGCAGAACCCCAGAAAGACGAGTGGTGCCCTCAACATTGACCCGGTACAGAATCTGGTGACATGATGCAACTCTTGGTCTGGTTATGCCATTTTTAGCTGATGCAACTTGGTAAATCATTTCCTGGCTTGCAGTGACAATAAATGACTTTATCTGATCAGAAAATAACTGAAAACTAAAACTGAAATAATTCCTGCTCAAAGAGTCAGCTGTGCCTTACATAAGAGAACTAAGCCTTGATTGATTCATTATTATTGTTTGTTTATTATTGTTGTTGATTCTTAGTTTGATTATTTTTGTAATAAAACTTCAAAAACAACTTTGGTCTCTTCATTCAGATGATTATTCATTTGTTCTGGTATAAAACTCCCTGTAATTAACAGATTCTACTTCAGTGGCTGATTCTGATCATTAAAGGCTGAATATATTAATTAAGTTGTTGATGGTCAGTAAACTGACCAGCTGATGCACATTTTAATGAATTAAAAATAAATAAAACAAATGCAGTGGAGTTGAGATGAGATGGAAAAGGTGTTACCCTTCTTCCTCCATCTCACCCTTCGTTATTGCTACAAGCTTCTACCCTGAGGCTGTTAGACTCATGAATCCCTAGTCTGGATTATCACTATGAAAATTATTGTGAAAAAAATCACTATATTGCCACTTGGTTGTTATGTGCTGCTGACTATCCATGATGCTGATCTCATGCTGCTGATTATTTCATGTTGCTGTGTTCATTCATCCTCATCTGCTCACACAGACTCATGTTCGTGCTGCTGTTGTTTGGCTCATTGTTTTGTACTATTAGTGCTTATAGTGTATTCTTAGTTTAGTGTATTTCTTAGTTCATATCTCAGATCTTAATACTGTTTTTCTTTACAATTTGTATTTTTGTTGGATGTAACTGCACCCCGTGTGCATAGTTTCGTTCCACCTCATGTACCACATGTGATGTGAGTGACAGTTATGACACATTGACTTTTAGAACTGAAAGAACAAAAAATCCTTCATAGAACCCTCAGAAAAATGCTTAGCCCCCCAGCACATGCAGAAAAATATCTCTGGAGCCACCACTGCTTTTTCTCCAAATTAAAGTTGTTCAAAACATTATCTCCAACAGGTAAGATATTAACTCCTTTCCACAGAATTCAATTTCAAGACGGAAAACATCCCTTTAATACACAGTTATAGCCCAAAGCAAACAAGTCGTGGTGATTTTATTCCTCAGATTTTTATCACTTTCTGTAAAGCTTTACACGAGGCAATGACCCAGGAGTTTCAATCCCTCTGCCAGGCAGAAAATGAAATTCACTTTCATTTTCCAACCCAACACCATAAATCTCCTCACCGGCCGAGCGGCGGTTTCATCCGACCTTGAAAGAGAATTTATGAGCAACATGAAGGAATCTGTCTGTTCTTGAGTCCGGCTTTTAAACCAGATGATCAATATTCAGGTCATCTATCACCTGATCAATATCTTACATCCATGCGGAATCCCAACCTTGTGTGCATCCTGTTTCCACGGGACTTCAGTTGACACACAAACGCACCTGTTGGCGGCCTCTTCGTGGAAATATCGTAATGCTGTTTTTCTAATATAGAGATTGCAAATTAGCATAAATATTACAGTAAAGAAAATTAAAAAATGTCACAGAACACGTTCGTATAGTATTTTTATTGTGACCTATTGTTCATTAAACTAAAACATTACGATTATGATTAAGACCGTAAAGGGTCTACACTGAAAGCTAAATTTTCCGAGCCGCTCCTGAAGCCACCACAGTCTCCTGACCCGGGTCTGCAGCGAGGAGGAACTTCTCCTCACTCTTGTCCGGAGGAGGAGCGGCGGGGACAAGGGGCAAGCGTTGGCACATTACAGGGGATAACACGCAGACAAAGATGTGAAGACAGTAGTTCTGATAAAAGAGCACTTCCTTTTTTACAAGGAAACACAAACATGGCGAATTCAAGTTCTCCTCAGGCGACTACACCTCTGATTTCCGGCCCGCGGCAACAGGAGGCTCTGCGGGAGGAGATGATGGAGAACCCGCTGCAGCAGGTGGGTCTGTCAGGACTGGAGGTGGGCCTGGCCCTGAAGCAAAGAGCACTTTCATTTACTTTAATAGGACAGTTAATTTAACTTGTCTTTTCTAAACTTTTTGTATTCTTGGAAAGTTAGGGAAACTTTTTCTTTGAAGTTCGTTGTAACTAAATTTGGGTAACTCTTCCTAACAATTACAATAATTTTAATTATTGCAATGGTTTTTTTTAATTGTTTCATTATGTAGAAATTAAGATCAGTGGTTGTTAGTTTGGATCAAGATCGATTAATTAATTGTTTATTGGTCATTAAAAAAAGAATTAGGATTTATGAGTGAATTCTGCTCCATGTTGTCTTCATGACCTCGTCACGTGCTCCTTCTGTTGAAAATGACCTAATATTTGTCATGAGTCTGGTCAGGGGGCTAATACTGTCAAACAGGAAGTCTGCAGCTATACTTAGACATACTGTACAGATTTTGTTAAAGACATACAAAATAGTGTTGTATGTAGGCCTGTCACGATAACAAATTTTGCTGGGCGATTAATTGTCTCAGAAATTATTGCGATAAACGATAATATTGTTTGAAATTTGACAATAATTAGTAATTGTCAAATTTAAGCAGAAATGCTGGATAATTTTTGTGTGTAGGACCTTTTTTTAACCACTGGATGGCAATATAAGACGGTTTGAAATGAAGGATGGATAGTGAGGGAGCGAGCAGTGTGTCTCTTTAAGAAAAATGGGAGGGAGGCCCCTCGACATGACATGGGCTGTCTCTCATTTCTTTATTTCTGTTTTCAAAATGGCGGATACTCGGTGTAGTTTGAGCTCTTTAGCATAGCGTTTTTCACACAAAGCTTTTAATAGAAAAATGAGTAAACAAGTTCTCAGCTTCTTTTTGCAGAGAAAAACAAAAAGGCACGGGTTTCAACCGTGAATTTTGGAGCTTCGACAAGACTGAGTTTTTTCCCAAGGTCGGCCTGTTAGCTTAGCTCGTACTTAGCTTCTCAGCTTAGCTGCTTTTAACGATCCAAAAATATGATTTTGGATCGTTAAAACAGATTTTAAAGAGAAAGGGAGGGGTCAGTGAAGAGCTCCAGAGTTGAGCCTTTTCGTCATCCAGTGTCTTCAGTAGAAAGAGAGAGACACGAAGAAATGATAAAGCTGATAAATGAAAATGAGGTAATGTTCATTTATCATGTGATTAATTGATGTATTGTTTATTGCAACAGGCCTGGTATGTTGGCCGTCAGTTGTCCTGATCATAAACTCATATTTGTCAACTTCCAGTCCTGGAGGTGGTAAACTGGGATCACCTTATAGTTAATCTGAGTCACAGCATGTGAAACAGGAAAGTATGGATCACAACTTGTTTATAAACTGATCATAAAAGGTCGTTTCTTTATTTTAACCATGTGCAGTTGACTGTATTAATCTGTTAAGTTGAACGTACAGATTTTTGTCTGTTTGATGATATTTGTAAATGTCCTGCTGCCTGGTTTTGCCGTCCCGACTCCTTTGCAGACACATTCTCTTCCTGTCCCCTCTGTGAGGTGTTCACTTACTGCCTCGTTTCATCTGTGTGACAGTACCAACGGTGGCCATGAGAACGAGAGAGGCAGAGGAGGAATGAGTGGTGGGAGTAATGAGTAATGGCTCATGGTGGGTTGTTAGAGAATGGATCTACTGTACATGTCCTGAGCAGCTGGTAAATGGTCCCAGCTACCCACCATCCCAGAGAACATCCCTATCAGGACAATATGTGTCTGTCTGGCTCCTGGAAAACCCTCTATAATGAAATGCAGCACTGTTGAGGTCAAAGGCAACTTTTTAGGAGTTGTGTTCAAACTGCTTGCCTTTCACTAATATTTGTGTGCCAGCAACAGCAGAGGGTGACCCCAACAATCCCTACATCACATTGCAACCATCAAACTCAAAGTTACAAAATCCTACAATTCATTCAGTTTTAACAAGCGCCTGCCGCACACTTTGCATACCCCCCCCCCCCACACCAAAGAATGTATTCTGATGATTAGATTGCCCTGTTTCTTTGTAGCTTTAATACACTTAAGATTCCAAGAATAGCCAAAGTTGTTTATCCTTCCAGCTACACATTTTCCATGTTCTCAGCTCGGCGTCTTGATTTCGATCAAAGCCGTACTTTGTAAACATGCAGTTTCAAGTTAAATGATGTCGGAGTCTCACAGAAACAATACACCAGGTCCACAGAAGTGTTTTATTCTCATTACTGCTGCTCATGTAATGGCCTGGAGTTAAAAGATTTCCTGCATGTCTTCTCTCACAAGACAAAACCAATGAAGAGTGTAAGCCTTATCGTTTTAATGTCTCCATTCCTCTGTTTTTGCCTGGGGTTTCATTCTTTTCTCACTCATGCTTCTTCGGTCCCACCAGCTCTGAAATGAAAGAGATCAGCCCATACAGAGAGAGAGACAAACCCCTTTTGTCACTGGACACAAAAAGCCATGCTGTCCCCTGTCTGTCTCTGTCCAGCTCATTGTTGGTCAGGGTCCTACCGTGGAGGAGGATCGGTGCGTTCGTTCCCTTATCAGCCCGTTTAGCTCTGCGATGAACTTCTACAGACGCATCATTTGTAACATTTGATCAAGTTCTGGACAAATACAATTATTTGTTTGCCTGTTGTACAAGTACTGTAGTTTTGTTTGATAGGTACAGAACTAAGCCCCGTTATGGAACAGGAATTGTAAAACTAGAAAGTCTCTGAAGAATTGTTGAAAGTTGCCAGTGCAGCATCTGAACATGAACTTTGTTCTGTGAAGCTCAGCAGTTGTAATTAAAAGCTGACATTCCTTAAAGCAGTCACCCACTGCCAGAGTTCGAAACAAACATCTTCTTATGGTGACAACTAAGGGCGTTTCATTAAGATCCATCCAGTGGTTCATGAGATATTTTCCTAACGGACAGACACCAACGATACAAAGCTTTAAGCAAAAATGTTGTGCAGTGTGTAGAACTCATCTGGGGAAGATGTTCGGTTATTACCGCACCGATTACTCACTCATTGTCTGTAAAGTAGGCTGAGTTACAGCCAGGTTTGTGTTTGAGTTGGTCACTTAGCTGTAGCAGCCATCTTGAATGAGGTTAACTCCTAAAGTTAAACAGTTGTAGATGCATGTGCAGTAAGTACCAAGAGTTTCATTAAAATATGTCCAGTGGATCATAAGATTTTTTTGCTAACAAAGACTTGAACATGAACTTGTGCTAAAATCATTGATATTATCAACGATAATAATCTAAGTTGAGAAAATGTTCACGTTTGAACTGATTAAGAAGTGTAAAGAGAACTGTTTTTGTTGTAACCATACTGCTGTCTGTAACTCCCTGACAGCTCCTGGAACGGACAGACTAAAAAGTAAGCCTCAAACAAGCAGTCATTGTACAAAACAATAGGCTGTTTTAATAAAGCACCCAAACCGAAGGAAGCAGGAGCATTTGTTTGCTATTTTTAATGTTTCTACAGTTTTTTATGTAGGAGATATTATGAGAGATACGATGCAAGTCAATGAGAAATCACCTGTGCTCTCTGCATTGGAGTTAAGAGAACACTGTCTTCTAGTAAACGAGTGGATGAAAGAAAACTAAAATGCCTATATTTTGATGTCTAAACTGTATAAGAGGTATATACAGTGGGAATAAAAATAATGTGTAACAATTCAGGAGGATTTAGTTTAAAAGTTCTGTTGTGAAGTATGCCTGAGTCAAGGAGGACAGTGGTGCCTGGTTTTCTCAGTTGTTTTGCTGAAATCCATTGTTGTCTTTTAATAACATTTTAGCTTTTTTAATTTTTTGCAATTTAATTTTGTTGTGGTTGTTTGTTTCTAAATGTAACCAGAAGTGTGACCAAAAGTCAAAGCAAACTACAGTAGTCTCTTGTTTACTGTGGGGGATCCGTACTCTAAAGACCCGCGATGTGAAAAACCATGAAGTAGGAATAGTAGTACAAGTAGTAAGTAGTAGTTTATTTTAGTGTTTATATATACATATTAAGACATTTTAAACCCTTCCCACACTCTTGTAATATTCTAAACGATGTTTCTAAACGCTCTAAAAGATCACAAAATGTCATAATTTCAGCTCACTGCCTCCTGCAAGCGTTCTTGGCCACGCCCACTTTTCCACTCTGCACGCTGAACAGCTGATCAGCTGATCAGCTGCAGAAGGAAGTTTATCCTGCAGTGTGGGCTGTACAAAGCTGCAAGAGGAAGCTTTTTCTGCAGCTCTGGGCTGAACAAATGTGCAGCAGGTGCAACATAATTTAAAATAATTTATTTTAAATAAAAATTCCATGCTGATCGTGCGGCTCATCCATCAATCAGCCAATTTTCTGTCATGCCCAATCTTATTTTGAAAAACCGCGATAGAGCGGGTCTGCGATAAATGAACCGCGAAGAAGCGAGGTACTACTGTATCGCCAAAAAGCTCCATGTTTTTTCTTTCTTTCTTTCTAAAGTAACTGCAGAGAATCAAAAATGGCTCCAGAAACTGAAGATTATAAGCTGAGTGATAATGAAGAACACTTCAGGGAGTGGTGGCGCAGAGGTTACAGAAGGTGAGCCTGTGATCAGAAGGTCTCTGGTTCAACTCCCTGGACTGACAACATCAAAATGTGTGTGGGAAAGGTGAAACACTCACACCTGCCTCCACTCTCATTTGCCCCACTCAGCCCTTAACCCCCACCATCTGCTCCTCCGGGCGCCCTAGACAGCAGCTCTCTGTTCCACACAGAGGACTGTGACGGTTGCCAAGTCTTTGTGCAAGTTAGTTCAATGTGGCGACCCCTAAAGAAGGGAGCAGCCAAAAGAAGAAAAAATAATTATTAATAATAATAATAATAATGATGAATATTTCCACGTTTTTGCACCCTTGATAACTGTAGTGAACCAAATGTGTTGTTTGTCTGTGCTGGTTTCTTGATTGTCCTTCAGCTTTTCTGCTCGGCTGCTGCATTTGGACTCCGTGTCTGAGTTTGTGTCACT